GGCTTCGTATTTAAATACCAAACAATAGGCTCGATTACAAAAAATAAAAAAGCGAAAAAGTAACAACAAATTGGAATTTTAGCACGTACACGAAATCGGAGGGAAAATAAATCAACTTGATTGAGGAGCAAGACTGGATTCCGTCGATTCAAACTGATTGACGTTGAAAATGCAACTAAAGCGGACTTCAAGATCTAGACCCTAAGAGCCACCATCACACATCATATTAGATCTCATTTCATCTCGAGCGGAGATGATGATGATTCTTCTCAGCTGGAAAAACTTGATTAGCAACTTGGACTTTGTTGTGAAATTTGTTGGGCGTTGAGTTGAGCTCTTTTAAATGACTTTTAAATGTTGATTTAACTTAGTTTACTTTTTATTCTCATCTACATTTGATGAATGTATGTATGAATGTTGTTTATTCTTTGCTCATTCGTATCTAACGTGCACCCACTGTAGTCTACCGCTTCACCTGATGATGCTAATGAGTTAATTAACACGTTTTACTTTGCCACTTTTGTTGTTCACAAAAAGAGTTGGCTTATAGAGAACCTTAGAGAAGCACACACGCAACCCGAGTGTGTGAGGGTAAAGTTTGAGGGTTCAGAAGGGAAAAGATATTCAGAATTGAGAAAAGAAAATATGGATTAATGCAAATGTGGGTTACTTTGAAATATGATAAGCTGTGCCTTTTTTATATACATTATTTTAATATAAATACAAAAAGTAATATACTTCGCTTAAGAAATTTTATAAAAACCCTCTTTTCAATCCCTTTCTTGTCCTTAAGATATAATCTTTATAGAGAGAGTTCTACACACATTCAACTTTCACCTTCTAGTTGACTCATTGATTTCCATACCAAAACAGACAGCTTGAAATGCAAATACAATAAGTAATTTGTTCAAGGTTCCCTAGTACAACTTTTGCCGTAATTTCTTGGCACATTTTGCATTTCAGCGCCACAAAATGAAGACTCATGTATACATATGGGGAGTGGTTGTGTGTTGCCTTGCGACTTTCCTTGACTTGCCATATATAATGGCTAATTTGAATTTTTATCATGTTTACAAGCAAACAATACGTGCATCATCATCATCATCATAGTCGTGGAAAAGGAAGGAGTTGCCATCGTTGTGTAGCTGCTGCTGCTGCTTCTGCTTCTGCTGCTGTTGTTGACGCCGGGAAAACCTCGCACAACATTTGCATATCGATTTCATATGCAGTGAGGAAAAATTCATATGTTCCCGCGACTTTTCCACAATTTCCCCTCCTTTGCTACAACCTACAGTCAACACCCCCATATTCATTTCCACCCCAGCTCAAGAGTAAATGCAATCGTGCCTTTTTCTGCTTCTACGAAATTGTATGGAATAAACATGAAGATGTTTAAACTCATTCGTTGCTCTGTCACTTTTTCTTACTACTGAAAATGTATGAATTTAAGACGAATTTATGGATTAAGTTTAAAGTTATTCAAGTCAGTAGAAGATACAAAAGGATTAAGCACGTTAATAAACTATACTTAATATAAAACAAAAGGAGTCAAAAAACTTTAAAAGTAAATGTAATAACAACTTTATAAACTAAACTCTTGGTAAGTCTTGGGGTGTTCTTATTTAAAATTTCAATCTTCATAGATCAAATTTCCCCAAGACATAATACCTCTAATAAATTCCCAATGAGCAATATCAACTTCGTGGAACTTTTCCAAAATTTTCATCAGCATTCAGTTTGCTGCAACCTCATAAATAGAACGAAAAAGAAAAGGGAAAATTGTGGAGTATTTGCAAATTTAATAACACCACCTTTGGGAAAACCCCTTGGCGCCCTGACTTTCTCCATAATCCCATCCCTCATCCTATTTTCGTCGTTTGTCTGTTTGAAGTTCGCTTGCATGTAAATTGCTCTGATTACCGCGTTGCAGTTTTTCTCACCTTGCTCTGTACTTTTCCACCATTTTCCCCTTCACATTTTGGCTTACTCATTTGATTTGCTTGCGCATTTTGCTGTTGCCTCTCGTTTGGCAGCGTTCTCTTTTACTTAACCTAATGCAAATCGTCGTTATTATGCACTTCTCTACCCTTGAACAATAAATTCCCTTTGTTTCCCTCGTTTTTTTTTTTTTCTTTCTTTGCCTTGAGGTATTTACGTCCTTAGGGGTTTTCTCTTGATTTTTCCTTCCAGAGGAGTTCAGAGAGAAAAGGAAAAAGTGTCATAAAATTTAAATGCAATTCTTCTTTTTTCCTTTCGCCACCATTTGGGTGCAAATGAAAAGTCTTTTGTTTGGTATTTATGGTAGCGAGGGTTTTTCCCCAGAAAGCACTTTTTGTGGCTTGTGTGTGAGGTGGCAATCGTTGATTGAATTTGTGATGAAAGATCAAAGGTAAACAACAAATCATTTAGGATAATTTCATTTGATTGTTAGAATATCGGGGAAATTGTGGTGTGAGCAGAGAGCTTTTCCTGAGTAATTGTATGTAAATTTTTCTCAAAGCATTTATGGGGTTTTTTTTATGGCAAAATGTGGATTACACGGCAGGGAAATTCAGTAGTAGTAAATAAAATAAATAATAAGTAAACTGTTATTTGTGCTTAAAATTTATAAATCAAATTAAATGTAGAACTTAGTTATGGGATTAAAAAGCCTTGTCATAGGAAAAGTATGGACTTCCTTCAGCTATTTTCGTCCTTTAATTCACCAAAACTGTACTAATGCAATCATTACAAACTTGGCATTATTTTACCAAAGTCTGCTGCGATTCCCACGATATCTCAAGCCTTTGACTCGTAGCACTCAATAATAAGTGCTATTTTAAAATATATATACATATATATAAATACACCCCATTTGAAGTAGAATCAGGAATAACAATGTTTTGAAGGAGGCCAAAGAAAAACCAATCAGAGGTTTGTCCTTCTTAGCCAAAAAGTATGCAACACTTTAGTGGGGTGGAGATGGAATAACGGGTGGAAAAGCTAAGACACACAGTGAGAAAGAGAGACAGGAAAGCAAAAGGACGAGAGCCAAAAGCAGGAAACAAAACTCGGCGACTCACTCAAGCATTTTATTAAATTGCCACCTTCCGTTTGTTGTTACGTTTGAAACGACGCCATGCAACGACTGTGTCTTCTATTCTATAAATATATATATTTTATATATATTTTTCGATTTCTAGACTGCGAGACTGAACCTCCCTCTTAACCCTGGCGGTAAACCAAAAAAAAATAGGAGAAAAGGAAAACTTTTGAAAAAATATTTCTGCCATCTTTTTCTATTATATCGTTTCCGCTGCACAACTTTTTTTCTCAGTTGTTTTTGTTTCAGTTTTTTATTTACCATTTTTTTACTTGCTTTTTTTTTGTTTTTTGTTTGTTGCTCTCTGGCGAGGTTAAAGTGCCAAATCACGAAACAAACAGCGTTTCTCTCTGTCTAGTTTGGAATATTGAATTGAATTGCAATTTCGCTTTGGGTGTGTGCCTGGGAGTCGCCATCGACATCGTCTGTCTATAATGCGGCAAATGTTGGATCGTGTCCAACTTAAATTTGCATTGAATTCGTTTTTAGGCGCAATGCGGGCGGTCTTTGGCAAAAGGGCTTATCTAAAATTGAATACTCCCACACCCACAAATACTATATTTTGGAAAAGAATTACTAAATAAATATTTAATTAAATGGAAATTTAGAAAAACTCCAAATGAATATCAGTAAATGTTGCCAAAGAATATATAAATTCATTTAAAAGTGGTTAAATGCTTCTTTTCACAGCTTTTAAGAGGATTTGTTACATGAGAGAATAGGATTATAAAAATAAAAAAATAAAAGTATCTCCCTCTAGTAGTAAAATCTAGATCATATTTACACATTACCTACCCAAAATTTCACACTTTAATTTACATAATTTTCCTCATTTTTCTCTGTTATCCATTTACATTTCTATGGAGCAGCATCATTACCGTCATGATAGTGTGCTTATCCATCAACGAGTTAAAAATACAAGAGAAAATTAGTTAAGCACACACACAGAGAGAGAGGGAGGAAAAAAGTGCCGAAAATTATTAAGCATACGACATGTTGTACAAGCGTAATTACATGCAGAGGAAAAAGAGAGGGGAAGCTGGAAAAGTGTTTTCGGTGGGAAATGAGATTGGCTGCTGGCAGGAAGCCTCGTAATGCTGCAGAAACTTTTTTTCCACCAGTTTTCAGTTTTTTTCCTCAGCTATATTTTTTTTTTTTAATTTTTTGTTACAACTTGTTAACAATAAACGCCAACGCCAGAGGTCCGCCCAATTAAAAAGTGGCATTCGCCACAGTCTTCTCAGTCAGTCTGGCCTCTGCCCTCTTTTCTCATTTTCTCCCCTTTAAAAAGTCAACATTTTTGTGGTCACTTAAGCAGATTATTATCATGGGTGTAATTAAAAGAAGAGAGAGAGAGAGAGAAAGAGAGAGAGAGAGAGAGGCAAGCATCAACAGCCCCCAAAGTGAGGGCGGCGGGTTGAAGCTTCCTGTCGGAAATTAACATAAATTAAAATATGCTCACCAACTTTTTCGGAATTATTTTTTGTCGTCAGAGCATCGCCTCTTTTTTTTGCCTCACATTTTTTGCTGGCTCACATAATTGATGGTTTTTAATTAACTGCCAAGTGACCGACAGCTGACAACCAAGTTTTAAAACAAAAGGGGCAAAAGTTCGATGAAAAATCCGTGAAATGTTGGAAGCAATTTCGTCTGCTGCTGCTGTTTCTCTTTTTTCCGGCATTTTCCCTTGTATTTCCCCGTACCCTTCATCCCGACCCCTTCTATCAAGCGGTTCATCCCTCACACTCACAACGTTGACCATTGCCAATAAAAACTGTCAAATACTATTGCCCGCTTTTAGGCTGGCCGCGTTTTTCGCACGCAATTTCCACGGCCACGGAATTGTGATCGCTTTCAGTTTGTCCCTCGCTCAGTCACGCTGTCTCTCTCTTTCTCTGTGTCTCCTGTCTCTTTCGCTTCATTTGTCCTTGTTGGATGCCTTTTGTGAATTTTTGAAAACTAGAGTACATTGCGTACAGTGGGATTGAAGCATGGGGTTTGTTATAACTTAAAGTAAATGGTTTTAAAAATTCTTAAAGCTTTCAGAAGCTTAGAAAATTTAGAATTCATATTATTAGATAATTTTTCTCTACTATGTTCTTAATAGAATTTAATTTGATATATTTTCAATAACTATAAATTATTTCCATCATTTCAATTTATACTTTCAACATTCGTTAGCCTCAATTTGAGCTATTTCGCTAGCCGTTTCTCTATGAAATTGTACAAATATTTCACACGCCTCGCTGGTCACTTTGTGCCTGGTTTTTGTTGATTTGTTTGGCAGTGGAAAATATTCCGGTTTGGCATACTTTTAGTTGCCCACACACACCGCATCAATACACCGCATTGTGTGTGTGTTTTGGGTTTTTTTTTTGTGAATTTTCTATTTGTTTCAGTTGGCTTAATTTATTTTGGAAAATGAGTCTAAAAACTTACCATTGCGATTCTCGCTGTCGGCAGGCTTCATTTGAATGGGATGATACATCTGAAATTAAATGGAAATAAAACAAAAATTTTAATTAGAATTTGTAGAACAAATTATTTGATAAGGTCTTGAGTAAATAAAACAAACAGTCATGGTAATTGTTTAATTTAATGAGTCTAGTTTTCAACAGAAATTTATTTGTATAAATTATTTAAAGTTAAGTTTAAATTTCTTTCTTTTTACTGATGACAAACTTCCCTCGATTCTGAAAAAATGAGGCTTTACCCCAAAACATATTGCTGCCATTGCATCACGAATCCTTGAATCTTTTCTCCAAATCCCTTCATTTTCCCTTGTTAAAATCAAATCCGTTTCCCGTCCGTGTTAATCACATTTGAAATATTAGAGCGCAATATGCTCTCCGTGGTTCCACCCGAAAAACGAGAAGGTCGCGATTAATTTACAGAGCTTAGGGCCCAAAATGCAGTCGCCGAAAACGTCGGCAAGGGACTGCAGTTTCAGGAAAGCGCAGAGCACAGGGGGATGGGAAATGTAAGGGCGGGGCGGGTAGGAAAATGCCCTCGCCCAGAGTCACCATCTAGGCTTCCCCACTTAAGCTGCATAATGAATGGAATGCAGGCAAAGGCAAAAGGGAAGTCTCGCAGGACAGGGAACAAAGCCCCCGCCTAAATCCTTGACAAAAGCCAAACACATTTATTCAGCGGTCGCTAAAAAGGACATGGGCGGCGTTGGCAAAAAAAAGGAAAATAAAGTGAAAGGGGGGAAAAGACAGGGGTTTTCTGGTGCAAAAATCCTAAAATATGCGTTGGGACTTTGCAGCGTGTTTTAAATGTAATTTTTCGCACACAAGCATATACAGCGTCGTCTTCTAATTAAAACCAGCTTAAAGCTCCAGTCTCTGTCCCTAGCCACGCCTCCTTACGCTTCAAAAGGAGGCCGCGAAACGGGCACGAGGTCACGCTGCAGTCTCTAATTAGAGATGGGAGCGTGAGTAGTATAAAAAAGGATACGTGAAATATATCGTATAAGTTAATTTTTGTTTAAGTTAATTATTTGAAAAAGCAATTCGGTTTTTAATTTTCTATGATTTTAAAGTAGCAAGACTCACTCCTTTTTAATTAAAACTAGCACATTTCTCTATATAGTATTTACAAGGACTCTTGTACGTGTCACGCTGGCACCTTTAAGGCAAACTACTGCGTGGCTAATGGCGCGTGATTTATTGGCAAACGAGCAGCGAGAGAGAACGACGACAGTCTAAGCTAGAAGGCAATGTCCTTGGTTCCACCTCCTTTTGCAGCACCTTTTCCCCGGCTTTACCAGCAAAACCCAACCTCTCTTTTGGCCGTAAATAATACACGCAACGCGACTGGTTACAAATTGCAGTCCAAAGTCAACCTCCTTGGCTCTGTCGCTGGCTCCTCCCCTTCTCATTTTGCCAATTTATTTATATGCAGGAAGTAGCAATTACCAGTCAAACACAGGCGGCATTCACGCCCTCCCCCGCACCTGGCGAAGAAAGTGGGTTGTGTTGGTTTAGCTGTGGAAATTCAGCGCCTTTCCTCACTTTGTCAACCGCTCTTGCGGTTGACTTTCTCACGGCTTTCGCCTAACTGGTTGAAATATTGCCGGCAACTGTTTTCTATTGGGGCAATTATCGGTATGGTCTGCACTTAATCAGGCGAAAGGTTGCCTGGGAAATGTCAATCTGGCCAAGCGATATGTTATCGATTACAGAAAGACCAAGCCAAATTAATCGATTGGAAGTCAAGTATATATCGGAAGACATTAATGGTTCTCATTTATAAGAGGAACATTAATAATGGTAATAAAAATAATACGAATTAAGAGATAGATATTTATAAACCATTTTTATCTAAACTATATTGTTAAGCTTTTATGCAAACCTCCTTAAAAATGCTGAAAAAAACTAATGTAAACTTTCATTCAACATTCTAACCAATCAACATGAATTTCCAAAAAGCATTTTCCTTTTTCCCAATTTCGATAACAATCGCAAATTGTGCAAGAAAATTACAAGCCAACGTCAAAGCCTGTCAGTTGAACTGCCAAAAGCAGGAAAAGCACCAACAGCAACGATGAGAGTTAAAATGCAGCACGCACATGTCCCTTAACCCCTTATCGCCCCAATGGGTTGCGCGTTGCATGGCAATTTTCTAAAATAAATATCGCAGCTGCAGCCACGAAGCAACATGCAAATTATGTCAGTTTCTCTTTTTGAAGCCGATAACGTGATGACATAAGCATTGTCCCTTGCAAAAGCTCCTGCTCCTGCAGCTCCTCTTCTATTTCCATTTCCCTCGAACCCCTCTTGTAGCCCCATTATATATTTTTTTCCTACTGCCAACCATCGCTAACACATGGCTTTCAAATAATAATAATATTCAATGCTTATTTGATGGCGCTATAGAAAAAAGGGCAGAACAACAGCAGGGCCAACACAAAAAAGTGGTAACCGAAAAATAAAAAAGCAACATTGCCAAATGTCGCTTCGCTTCTGCTGACGCTGCTCCCTATCTCCTGACCTTCTCCCCCTCTTAGTAGAACCCTACACTTTTTACCATATCTTTCTCCCTTTGCACTTCTTGTGCTGACAACTTTTCCAGGACTCTGCTTGCTTTTCCGCTTTTCCGCTGCTGCTCCAAAGTGCAAATTGACATTTTTGTGCCTGCGGTTTGCTCTCTTCCCGTCAGAAGAAAAAAATCTCTAGTGATGGACAATAGGAATATCCTAAATAGTTATTAAAACTATACATATTACATATTAAATATATTAAATTTCCCTACATTATTATATTTTATTTGTATTTTAGGTCAACCTATTACCTATTATTATATTTATACCCTGGCAAGGTTTTATAATTTCAGATGATTGTAAAGCAGTGAAGGAGTCATTTCCGACCCTATATTCCATATATATTCTTGATCAGAATCGAAAGGAGAATCGATTTAGCTATATCCAGCTAAAATTTTTTTCATTTTATTTTTTTCAAAAATATGAACATTTTTTAAGAGGTTACATCATTAAAATGTTAAAAAAAAATAGCCAAAAATTTAAATTTTTTTAAATTTTAAATTGAGTATGCTGATTTATTAACCTAATAAAAACTAACATACGAACGGTTTTCGAAGTGAAATTAATGCATTTTTAGCTTAGTTATGAGTTTTTTAAACTTTGATTTACCCAAGGAATTAACACATTATACAAATCTTGATTCAACACCTTTAAAATCTTATTTTTCTTTTTTGTTTTTAAAATTACTAAACCATTTTTTATATATATTTCCTTTTGATAATTCCCTGAACCCATCAACTATTCCATCATATCCTCTTAAAATACCAAAGATAGTCAAAAAACTAAAGAACTTTTGGCGCGTGTCTTGTGCTAACAGTTTTCGCTATTTTTGTATTTCTTCCTTTTTTTCTGTTAAGCTGCCACAGGACACAGGGCTAAACTTTTGAAATTACTTGCATTTTATAGGGAAATGTTTGGAGAGCGCAAATGAAAAAAAAAACTATATTGGAAAATAGAGGGGAAAGAATTTCACGTTCCACCAATTTTTTTATCCTTTTTTTTCGTCGGCACTTTACAAAAATATTTTCCCTTGCGTTGCATTTTATTTTATTTCGAACCTTTTCGTTTTTTTTCCTTTTTTTGTGCGGTGTCATGGCTCTGTCAGTCCAAACGCCAGTCAATCTGTCAGTCAGCGAGTCAGTTAGCCATAATGAAGGATGCGAGAGAGGAATCAGGACGATGATGCTGCTGCTGTTGCTTTCCCAGTTCCTCCTTTTCACAGCCTGACTCTCCTCTCTTGTCCTTCGGCTGGTGTTGTCCTGTCAGGCGGATGATAGCATTTCATGATAAGTTTATAGAGTTTTCCCTTGTTTGTGTCAGATCAGCGAAAATTTCCAATTAAAGGTTAAGATTCGCGTGACTATCATTTTCTTCAAAGCAAAGCGAACATTTCAAGGCAAATTTTAGGCTGAAAAGCCTCCCTCAAGTACCCTTATATTTTCATTTCTATTCCCTTTAAATTCTATACCTATTTTCAAAGAGGAATCTTATCATAGTTAGATCATAAGATTTACCAATTAATCCCTTAAAATCCCGCAAATTATTAGCAACATTCAAAGATTCCATTTAAAATGCAAAGAGAGACTACTACTACAATTTGTGAAAATGGCTTAAAACTAGGGCAGCAGGTGGGGCGTGATAACATCATTATATAAATCAAAAATTTCCTTACCCCATTCAGCGTCTTAACATTATGCAAAGCATCCTGGGCTTTCAGGGCGGCGCGTCTCGTATAGAACGTCACAAAGCAGCAACCTGGAAAATAAAGGAAAAAGGCATAGGATTAGCATTTGGGGGTTAAATTGGACTTTATTTTCAAATGCCGCCCCGCCCTCGGAAAAGGTGGCACAAAGAAATTATGAAAATTATTATTATTAGCAGGGGAAAGGCAAAGGAGGCAAGGGAAAATGTTTCCCGAAAGTGTGAAGAGGAAACGGAAGCCGTGGGCGTGCCTAACGGGGGCAACACCCAAGAAATGTGGCAACAACATGACAGCCTGGCACTAAATTAAACATTATGGCCCTAACAAATGTGTCGCGTTTGAGATTGGAGAGCAAGTTTTCACTGGAAATATGGAGTGAGTGGGTGTGCCTTTTTGGGGGTGGCAAAAGGGTAGCAAAGGTGTTGAAATTTATGAGGGTTCGAGAGGAAGGCAAGTGTGGCAAGCATATTAAGTGATACTTAAAGTTGAACATTAGCGTACAAATGTGCATTCCATTCTCATATATTTCATGTGTAAATTTCACATTTATTGCGAGCATTAAAAACATTATATAAATTTTATTGAATCAAGTTTAATTTGTTGTTTATGCTTTAGTAATTTTGTATAGTACGTTTACAGGCTGAATTCAAGCTATTTTCTTTAAATTTTTTGGATTAGTTTAATAATTACAAACTATTCACATTCTTCTTTTTTTATTTGTAAACAATTTTCCACCTTTAAATTCAACCCGAAAACACACCTTTCTCTCCTCTACATTTCTCTGTTACGTGTAAAATTTCATTTCCATTTCACCAAAATAAATTCCTCTTTTTTTTTGGTTCCATTTTTACATGTGCCTGGAATTCCCTTTCTTTTATATGGCAAATCTGTGGCCAAGTTGCACACACATTCGCACACACTGGCATACAGAGAGGTTTGGTTAAATCCATTTCCGGCTCCTGCACACATCCCCCTTGCATCCCATTTTCAACTCCCACTTTCCCACCATTTTCCATAAACCTCCAAACCCAAACCCAACTCCAAAACCCCAATCTCATGGGCAACCGTGTGTGATGGCAGCAGTGCGATGGTTACAACAAAACTTAATACGGAAATAGTTGCATAATGCAATTACCCACCAGCGTATCGGCGGCATTTAGTGGTGGCCATTTTGGTGCCTCTCCTACTCGGGCAGGTGTGGAAAACCCCACCTTCCCTTAACCAAATGCCACCCACTATTTGCCACACACAGGTAATTCAATCTGTCGCAGTTTTTTGCCATGTCACCAAAAAGCCACATACACACAGGTACACACACACGCCAGCCAGGCAACATTTTTCAGCATTTTTCACATATTTGCAAATATTTTCATTTCTCGTTTCAGTTTTTCTTTGCTTTTTTTCTGGGCAGTTAAATATCCGGCAGAGAAAATGTTAGATGTGGAAAGAGACTAGCCACGTCCGATGTGTATGAGTGAATTATGGGACTTTGACCTCTTTTTTTGTATATCTTTTCATATCAAAACATTTTCAAATGTGGAAAGTAAATCACATTTAACTTTAAATAAATCAAACAAATTTATGATTTTCTTATTAGAAATAATGCATTAAGAAAATATATAAATACTCCAAGCTAACTGCCTGCCTTTGTAATCTCAAATGTCTCCAAGAATAAATCACTTTCTCCCTCGTATTATATTTCCCTCATTAAAAATCGTGTTCCAGGAAAGCAAAAACTGATATAAAAATTAAACTTGACTTCAATTTCAATTCACTGGAAGCAGATTAAATATCACTTAGAATTAAACTAGCGTTAAATGTAACAAATGAAGGAAAATCGAAACCATTTGGAATGCAATAAAACATAGTTTCCCCCAAGAAGGAGAAGTTGATAGATAAGGAAAGCAATCGAGCGATAACCAAGGAGGAGGCACAATGCACAAGGAGGAAAACTGCATCAAAACAACGCAGAAAAGAAAAAGCAAGAAAAATCTCACACAATTCCCATTATGTGCATGTCAACTGCAGTTAGAATCAAACCCAAGACACCACACACACACACACACACACACACACACCCAAAGAGAACAATGCGATAAAATAAAAATAAGAAAAGCAAGGCAAGGCGGGAAAACTAAAGAAAAATCCAAGGAGTAAAGCTGAAAACGACATCCAGTCACGTTTTTGGCCAAAAAGAACTTAATCCCGGCAAGTGGGAGGAAGATGAAATCGAGAGCCGCCAGACAAGACGTGCCAAAGTCCAGCAAAAAGGATACACACATATATATATACATGTCCTGGGATATATCTATATCACACACACACAGGCATAAAGTACCAACACTTGGACACACGCTTGTGGACGAAACGAATTAATCGAAGTTAAATAAATCAATGTCCTTAAACTTTCCAACCCACAGATTTACTGCAACACGAAAACGAGAAAAGGAACAAAGGATGCGCTGCTCCTGGACAGGATCAGGAATGCAACTAAAACAAAACCAATGCAATTGAACTTCGGTTTATTTCTGATTCGATATGAGCGATAAAGCAGACACACGTGCACTGGAAAAGGGTTATATATCAACCTGATAATTATATAAAAACAAGAAATATAGCTTGGGAAAGTGTTTAATGCGAATTTACAATATTAAAATTAATTGCAAGTTGAGAAATGTAAATGAAACTGTATAAATTTATCAAAATAATGGGCATATAGAATTCTTAAGCCAGTTGTAAAATATTAATAGAATTAAGACAACAACAAAAATCTTCATCCAAGAGTGAGAAATATAAAAACCTTTTACATAAAAAACTAGTGGTAAAGTTCATGTTTTGGCGTGAACAACAAAAATTCCTGCTAAGAGGTGAGAGTGTAAAATTGCAAAAATTATTTGAAAGAAGAGGGTTTTTGAATAATTAAACCATCAATAATTGAGCAAGGAAGTAATAAAATTTAAAAAAAACTGTGTAAAGAAATTTTAAAAGTGTAAAGTGTAAAGTGTATTTAATGAGGAATAATAACTCTTCCAAGAATTTTCACCTCAACCGTGACAAGTGCTTAGCAAAGCTTCAGTGGCAACTAAAAGTCGTGACCAAATTTCTCTTTTATATGAAACTGAACAGAAAAAGAAACTATCTTCAAGAAGCCAAAGGTTAAATACCCTTGTAGCTTGCAAAACAATACATATAAAATAAATTTAGCATACATGGCGTATACTTAACATGAAAACACCTAAATTAAGTATACGCCATGTGTGTCTTCGGAAAGAGCCTTTTAAAAGTTTATAAAAATAAGTAAATCCGGTTAAAAAGCAAGCTTAGCAATTAAATTATAAGATCAAATTTGAAATTGATAAAAACTAAGCTTCAAATGCCAATTTTTTTTTTTTGACAAATCAAAGATTTAAAAAACTCATAACTAAAACAAAAAAGCATTAATTTTAAATCGGAAATCTGTCATATTCAACTTTTTGGTAGGCTATAATAATTAATAATTAGAATTTTTGTAAATTTTTAAAAATTAACGATGTAATCACTCACATATTTTTCAAAATTAAAAAAAAAATTGAGTTTGGCTGTTGATGCTGATCAAGAATATATATAGTTTATAAGGTTAGAAATGATTTCTTGATAGCGTTACAACAAGCTTCTTTATACAATTATAATACCCTCAAAGGGTATAAAAAAGTGCCAAACTCAAACTGTGCGAAATTTTCTCCTTTACTCGCTAAGCCTGCATTTGAAATTGAAATTCGCTTTTCCCTTTTCCAAAAGAGAAAACGCAAAGGGTGCGAAATAAAATTAAGTGAAATTTTATGCATTTTTCACGCTCAGTGCAGCAGCTAAATAAAAATGTCAAGAGCACAAAGTTCCTTCGAGAAGGAACCTAAAACACACAAAATATAAAAAAAATAGAACAAGAAAGGAAGCTAACTTCGGCACGCCGAAGTTTATATACCCTTGCAGATAGAACTTCTATGAATAAAAAACCATACAATACAAATTATATATCTTTGTGTTAAAAAACAATGAAGTAATACCTCCTTTCATTTCATTCACCTATACATATTATATTTGCAGTTTTACATTCACAGATTTGCATTTTTCCTCCACATCAAACGATCGTTTGTATGGCACCTATATGATATAGTCGTCCGATTTTCATGAAATTTACCACAAAATTTAAGACTTAAATTAAATGCCTATACCTAAAATTTGATGAAAATCAGTTGAAAACTGAAAAGGTTATAAATTTAATTGTATTAATTTCTCGATCGTTCCTATGGGAGCTATATGATATAGTAGTCCGATTTTCATAAAAATTTATGCAAAATTGTAGAGTATAGTAAAATGACTATATCTCAAATTTGATCCAATTCTATTGAAAACTGAAAAAGTTAAAATTTTTTTTGTAAAAATTTTCCGATCATTCCTATGGCAGCTATATGATATAGTCGTCCGATCCGGCCCGTTCCGACATATATACGAGTGAGAGTATATAGAAGGCTAACTACAAAGTTTCATTCAGATAGCTTCAAAACTGAGAGACTAGTTTGCGTAGAAACGGACAGACGGACAGACGGACAGACGGACAGACGGACAGAAGGACAGACGGACAGACGGACAGACGGACAGACGGACATGGCTAGATCGACTCGGCTGTTGATCCTGATCAAGAATATATATACTTTATATAGTCGGAGGTGCCTCCTTCACTGCGTTGCAAACTTCTGACTGAAATTATAATACCCTGCAAGGGTATAAAAATAAGGAAAGGCCGATGAAGGCGTTAGATAAGTAAGGGGAAAGACATCGGACAGCTGGTCTTAGAGTTGGGAAAAGCTTTTCAAAATGAAGTTCTCAAGGAAACCGAAAGATAACGCAAACGGGAACGAAGGCGGCAGAAATCTGCCAACTGACCAAACTTCCCCCATTTTCCACAACCAGAAGAAAAACCCCACTTAACCCCGATTTCTAACTCAGTCTCTCACTGTGTGAATTATATTATTTCTTTTCCTTGCTCTTTCGGTTTTGGGATTCTCATCTGCTTTTCTCAGTTTCTCCTCTTTTTTTCCTGGTTTGGTCAGCGAGTTAGTTTTTTATAAGGCAACGGGGGTCATAAATCACAGACTTCACAGGCCGGACTAAAAAAGTGGGCGGCATTTTGGGGTACGGAAGGGGGGCGTGTCGCTCTTAATGTGGAACTGTGACATATGGTCTTGTTTTTGGGGTGGGATAAATTCCAACAATTGAATCTGTTTGGTGTTGTGGATTATCAGCAAGTAGCTTAAGGCTATGAAAATGCCAGGGATTAAGATAAAGCATTAAAGCTATATACTTATTGTCTTTAAATTGCATTCATTAAATTAAAAGGTTTTCTTTAAGCTTGAAGTGTTTTCTAAGGCCAAATTAAACCTAAATTTATTTACAAGAAAATTAAATAGGTCAAATTTTGTTTATTATTCATCACTTTTAATCAATTACAATCTTTTAATGAAACTAGAGAAAGGAAAAAGATGTGAAAATGTCAAAAATAGATCTACAAAATTGATAAAAATAAGCTTATCCTGTCCCTAAGGATATGCATAAATTAACAAACAAAACACAACTAATTTAGTTGTTGACGGGAATGCAATTTATTTTAATTTCGCCCTAACAACATTTCTTTCTCTATCTCTCTCCGAAGGAAATCTTAATCTTAACCTAGTTGCCTTCATTCCGTTGGCCACAAAAGCCTCAAAGAACTTGACACTGACTTGACAACGCCAGAAACATTTTCCAACTCACCCCTCACCTTTGCCAGTCAACGGAAACTCACTCAATATCGAATTAAAAAGCTACCTGTTTCCACAAAACTCTCACCTGAAACAATCTGAAACGGGAACCGCAGAAAATCCTTGCGCGCTATGCTTCGCTTGCTTTCCGTTCCGCCCCCATTTTCCCAACCCAAGGGCGTTACGCCCATTTATCCCGTATTCCGAAAATAGTCCCTAGTACTATCGCTGAACCGCAAGCGCTAATAAATTATGACCCCAAGCGCTTAACCTTGTGCCGCTCTAGTTTCTGCCCCCTTCTCACCTTTGAACCCCCTCCTTTTGGCTCACCTTTTCTCCCATTTTACCTTCACACCTCTCACCTTTATCTGCTAGCCGCAGTGCAACAACGAAAACAACAACAACATTTTTTGGTAACAGCCATAAAACCACAACACCCGCAACAAACATAGAAAAACCAAAAGAGAGTAAGGGGATATACTCGACCATAAAATACCCGGTAACCAAAAGTTTTCTGTATTTAAAGGAGTTATTTGTATAATGTTTCGTGTTAAACTAAAAAAAAAGAAAACATAAGGATAAAGTAATACAAAATCGTTGTACTTATTGTTCAACATTAATTAAGCATTTATGATTTGCTTGAATTGATAGAAAAGTTTCATTACCATAGAGTTTATTAAGAAAATATATTTTAATAGGAATATATAATATACTCCTGTTCTTTACTATATTGTACTGGTCAGAAAAGTCAAAACAGCAAGAAAGCTGGGAGGAAAACTGAGAGGAAACTTGAAGGGAAAACTGTCCGCTAACGAAATTTAGTGGCCCGAAAAAGGAAAACAATTTTTTTGGGAACAAGAAAAAGTACAAGTAGAGGAAGCATTAGCCCAGAAATACTTGGCCGAAACGAAAAGGAAATTTTTTTGGTTGATACTAGCATTTTTGTGTTTCCTTCTTTTTTGGTTATTTACGACTTTCTGGTTCAGAGGTCAACCATCGCACTTAAAAATGTCATTTTGCATTTTGTTTGGTTTAAAGGGGCAAAAGCGAGATACCAACTAAAAACTCTTTCGGAAAAATGCAACAGACAAAAGGCAACAGAAAGGGCTACCAACAAACAAAAAAAAAGTGGCACAAGTCTAAGGATATGGATGAGGTCCTTTAGCCAACTGGTAGCCAAAAACTGGGTTACATTTTCCCATCTACATGGAAATGTTGTTAGCAGGAAGTTTGGCTGGCTTAAACAAGAGAAAAAAAGAGCTCTGAACAAAAATGCATCATGCAGGACTGAAAAATTGGTAACGAATAGAAGATACTGTGTAAAACACGTTTCTAAATGATAATATGGAAAAATATATATATTTAATAATCAGAATAATTTATAGTTAACGCATAGCTTTTATTAAAAAGGGGTTTGATTATTTACTAATAATGTATTCTGATAAATAAATGTTCTATAGTCTTAAGGACATTTTTTGAGAATATTTTCCTTTTAGTCAAAGCCTAAACTACTTTTGAACATAATTTTTCTGAGTATGTCACCCAAAAAGAAGGAAAGTTCACTTCCACTTTATTTTTTTCCCCCATTTCGTTTTGGGTCACTGCCACGCCCACAGAAAATGCGGACCCGCCTACTTTTCGCTTGTCGCTGACATAAATAATAACTTTGAAATGCAATTTGTGTCGATTTTGTGTTTGTGACTTGCACAAATCTCCTTTAGCTTTTCGCCAACGACAAAAGAAAATAATGATAATAATACTGGCAATAAAAGCAAATACATTCTCACATGAGCACTTGGGAAGTGAAAAAGGAAAAGCTGTGACTACTTTTCGCCGCTTGTCATAAATCATCAACACAACGCTCCACTTAAGTGCTTCTAAAACAGTTTTCTCCCAAAAAATTTGGCGCCTCCCCGATTGCCACGCCCCCTCTTTCGGACACCACTGACCAGAGAGGAAATGGAACGCCCACTTTTAGCCAAAAAGTAAGCTTGAACCTGTCAACTACAGGCGGAATACTAAAAATATTAGCCAACAAAACAAACAAAACAACAAAAATATAGATGAAAAAGCTAAATAGACAGTTGGTTATAGAATAACAATGACACAAAATAAACAAAATGTCGTAAATGTTTTTGAAATACACAAAATATACAAAAACACAATGGAACGACGAGACCAGAATGAAAGCTCCTCTCTTTGGACAGGAATATGAATAGAAATCTGAGCCAAATGGCAATTGGAAATGAAAAAGATTAGAAGTGGAAATGCCGTTATGAATGAATGGGGAAGAAAAGAGCACATCAATAAAAATAGAAGCTTGACTGCTGCAGTTGAGAGGCCTCAGAAAAAGGAGACAAGAGAAATGAACAGAACAATGAATATATATTCGAATAATGAAAATGGGGAGTTATGAGTGCAAGATAAGCAACTGAGTTTGATCTGCCTGCAAAAAGCATTCAATTTCAAAGAAGACCCACAACTGAAAGACTCGAAAAAAATGAGCAATAAAATGTCTATTATCTGATGTCTGATTTTATAAAAATTTAAAAATTGAATAACAATTTTAGTCAAAAATTCGAAATTTGAATAAAATATTTGTAGAGAAATATTAATAAAAAAAACTTATATTCGTTTAAAACTAACCATATTTTCTGGCAATCAAGTAAGCTCAAATTCTTCTTGTATTTGACCCTTATATTTATGCTAATATTTTAAATTGAATTCAATTTAAATTAAAATACAAATTGATGAAATTCTTGAATAAAGCTGAATTTCTCTCGGCTATTTAAGTAAATCTAAAATATATGAAATACCATAAATCTTAAACTCTTCAATAAAGGCACATTTATATTATATTATTTAATTCAAAAGGGGGAGTGAGTGTGGATGATCTCTCTCCCCTCCACACATTTTTACCCCAATCTCCATTAGCAAAGCTCAAGGCTATTGAAATTTCTGCTCAAACACAAATAGCGAACAAAAAGCAATTTGCTGATGAAATGAAATGGCAAATGCGAGGCAAATGCAAGTGAATGCAATTAAAAGGGGAAGAGAAGGAGACATGGAAAGACACATATATGCACATATATATAAGCTTAATATTTGTGCTCTGGCTAGACCAATATCTCATATTAATTTTGTCTGCAAGTCTCTCCACTCTCATTTACATGCAAGGGAAGATAAAGTTTTGGTGCAGCTTTCGGCTATTTACCGCAACAAATTCGAGTGTAATTTATCGGCTAGAGGAGCTTGGAATAAAGAGAGATAACAATTGTACAGTGGTCATTCGAAAGAAAGAATATTTGTAATGTTCAAGAAATAATTTATGAAATAATGCAAAAATTTTTTTATTTAGTTAATTTGTTTAATTTAACCAAAATAATATTAATTTTGATAGCCAAGGAAGATAGTAATAAAGGAAATGAATAGATTGACACTCCTGTTGATATTAATAACAAATTCGAGTGTAATTTATCGGCTAGAGAGAAGCTTGGAATAAAGAGAGATAACAATTGTACAGTGGTCATTCGAAAGACAGAATATTTGTTATGGTAAAGAAATAATTTTAAAATAGTGAAAAAATTATTTTATTTAATGGATTTGTTTAATTTAACCAAAATTATATTAATTTTAATAGCCAAGGAAGATAATAATAAAGGGAAATGATTAGATTGACACTCCTGTTGATATTAATAAAAATTCGAGTGTAATTTATCGGCTAGAGAGAAGCTTGAAATAAAGAGAGATAACAATTGTACAGTGGTCATTCGAAAGAAAGAATATTTGTTATGGTTAAGAAATAATTTTGAAAAGTAAAAAATTTATTTATTTAATGAATTTGTTTAATTAATCAAAAATAATATTAATTTTAACAGCCAAGGAAGACAATAATAAAAGGAAATGATTAGATTGACACTACTGTGCATATTAATCGTTAAAACCTAAACTTTTAATTTATAGGGTCAGAGTAAAACGTTAGAAAGGGTAAACAAATAATATACACATTTCATAAATTTATAACAATGGTAAGAAACATTTCTTAATTAACTCATATTGTTTTTTATATCAACACGTCACTCACCCTTGCTTATTCCCGTGGCCTTATCTCTTAGCACATTGATCGAGTGCACTGGGCCGTATTCCTCAAACATCTCACGCAGCTGCGACTCATCCATCGACTTGGGCACCTGGCCGACAAACATTTTGATGTTATCCGGATCCGGTTCCTTTCGCCATACGTGACCACGGTGGTGTCCGTGTCCAAACGGAAGCACGAATCATCGTCCATGCTCACGACATTACGATTGGCGCTGCATGGATTGTTGTTGTTGTTCACCAGTCCGGCGGCGGACATTATACCGTTACTGCCAACGGCCACCAGTGAGTTGCTGCTGCCCAAGCTTGGATTGTTGTTGTTGTTGCCCCCGTTGATGCTATTATTGCTGCTACTAGTGTTGTTGTTGTTGTTCAGCAGAGTTGGATTATTGTTGTTGCTATGTATGGGGCTATTGGGCAGGCTGTTCGTTGCACTGCTGCTCTTATCGCTCATACCAAATGCACTGCAAAAGAGAGAGGTGAAAGAGATAGAGTGTAACAGTACAGTGATCACTTGAAATAAAAGCTGTTTAGAGGAGGAAATTATTATTTAAAATACAGTATTATTGTTTTTTAGAGTTTTGCATTTAATTTAATATATTGAAGTTAATCTGGTTATAATAAAATTTGTGTTTATTATATTTTTATTTAATATGCTGTCTAGGTCATCACCAACCAATCTTCACTGTAACTTTAAAATGTACAGCTAGGATTCACCCACTCCGAAACCAACAAGCTTTAACACACACACACACAGATAGAAACTTACTCCAAGTACAAATCGCTGTCGTTTTTCTCAGAAAAATCGAAAATCATGCGGCGATTTGCCAAAAACGAAGAGCGACTGCTGAACATATTGCGATCTCAAAATACAATTGTACACGGTCGACGCGAATAAACAACTAATTTAGCGGCTGCACGATATTCAGGCTAATTGCACTATCAAAATACCACTACCAATACGTTTACTGTTAACGCGCACGGACACTCGAGGTCGAATTGAAGAAATGTTTAAATTAAGGGCCTAAATAAATACTTCCACTTAACACGGGCGACACTCTCGGCACTCGGAACTGAACGTGACTAATTAAAAAAAGTAAACTATATATTCAAATATATAAATGCAGCGTCTTCGTCGTCCACTCCTTCCTTGAACTTCCTACAAGAGCAATCGTCGATGGACAAATGAACGAGAAACTAAAGATGAGGAGGAGATGTGGCTAAGTGGAAGCTATTCTTCCAGAAGCTTCCAACCAAAGCGTGGGAGAAGGAGGGAGAGATTTAAGATCAATACTGAAATAGAACCGAATAAGACAGGTGGCTTGGCTGTAAGTTAAGCTTTAAGCACAATAGAGCGAGCGGGGGAGAAAGAGAAACTTGGAGAGAGGTTATGCTTAGCCAAAGAACAGCATTTACATATTTTAATCCCCTGCAACAGAACTTTATAAATAAACACTTTGTAAATTAAATTATGTTAACTAATATTACATATGGAAGAAAACTAGAATCAAATATATTAAATGATTTTATTATCTATTTTTTCTTTATTGAATTTATATTTTATTATTGTAAGTCTTATTTTATTTGTGATTGTATTAATCGCATTAAATATTATACTTTACAGGGTGTGGGGTATTGTGTGTGTGCATAAGCTTAATTATGTGTAAGGTGATATATCGTGATTTGTTCTTTATCCTCAAGTGAACATTAAAGGAAATGCAGGGGACTTAAAACAACTTTGATTTCGGCTTGAGTGAACCGTTCTTGTTTGCCTTGGCGATTTTCTTGGCGAGTAAGCCTCAAATAGCATTAACCTAATGGCCATTTGCTTGTGTAAATAAACGATTTTAGCTTTCGAATGGAATTGGGTCAGCGAAAACGCGATGAGCAAACACTTGGACAAGGACCTCTATACCACACACCTGATGATTAAACGTTTGCTGTCTGCTTACAGGTACAATTGCGGTCAGCATAATAGCAATAGTAACATATAGTGTTATGTGGCAACTAAAATTTGTCTAAGACACTTAAGTGTGTTTAGGATGATTTTTATGAAAATAATATTTGATATGTACCACCATCTTTAACCAGAAAATATATTATATGTATATAGATTTTTATTTATATATAAATATGAGCCTATTTTGTTAGGCTCAGCTGTATGTGTTTGACTCAAATGAATTAGTCCAGAACGAAAGATAGGATGGGATCGGATAACAGGGCGTGGCACTGAAGGAAGTGGACTTCCAGGCAGACAAATGGATAATGGCAACGTTTGCTTTTTTGGTCGTAATTAGAAATTTGGGTTGACGTTGAGAAATCGAAAGGTGGAATTAGCTCATTTGCATGCTTAAAGATTTTACATAAAACATTTGGTATAAAAGAATTAAATATTAATTAATTTATTAAATACGTAAGTTGTCCGTGCTGCGCTAAAGATTTTATTAAACAATTTTTTGTTTTTAACGTATATATTATTATGAATATTACTCATACGCAGTGTTGTAAATTTTCAAAAGGTATTGTGCTTGACTTTTAAATAAGAATATTTATTTTTACAAGAAAGGAAAGGAAATAAAAATATTCGCATTCCTTCCAATGTTGGTCGATAAATCAAATTTTAAAATATTCATAACTAAGCCAAACAATCTTAATTTCAATTCGGAAAGCTGTTTTATGTTACTTTTTACTCCGTTAATAAATATGAGTACTCAATTTAAAATATAAAAAAATTGAAATTTTTCAAAATTTTAAACGATTACCAAAATTTTGAAAGAAATAAATTTTAGCTGGACATAGCCAGATAGATTTGCCTGTTGATTCTGATCAAGAATATATATTATTTATAGGGTCGGAAATGACTCCTTTACTTACTAAAATTATAATATACTCTGCAGAGGTAGAAAAATTAAATACTTTAATTATCATATTTTACATTATACAGGCAATACTGTAATTAACGTTACTTAGCCATTGCACTCACTGTACATTCTATTTATTATCTTCCTCTGTCTCCTCCCCACAAATTTGTTGCTTTGAGGTTGCTGTTGCTTTTTATTTTATTTTATTTCTTAGTTTCACTTTTATTTAGCAAATTCTTGTCATCCCTTCCCACTAACTTTCTCACTCTCCTTTCTCACGCTCCCTCAGCGACTTCTCTTTGTTGCATTTTGTAATTTGAACTTCTTCTTTGCTCTTGTTTTCCAGACGCAAACTTTTCAACTCTTCACCCGCTCATTCTCTGCTTAACCCTCTCCAGACTTTTTTGGCTTGACTTTAATTTAGTTAAAGTTGGAAAGCCACCCTACACTAGCAAACAAAGTTGAGGGGCCTCTCAGGGGAAAGATCTGCAAATGCAACGACCCTTTGACACAATTATTGCATTTCTTACACAGTCAAAGTAATAAATACATTTTATTAAATCTTAACTAAAAATTTCTTAAAGAAAGATATAAGTTAAAAACCTAAATTATTTCAAATGTAACCTAGAAAGAATGTGCCTTTTACATTTATTAATATAATAATTAATTTAAATATTAGTTGTGAAATGTATTTACAATTTGTAAATAATATAACAATTTTCCAGTGTACTCTATACATGATCCAAGTCCAGCTTAGAACCCAATAAAACATGCAATTGCAACAATTTTATGCCAAACTTTTTAACTTTTCTTCCAAACAACAAACTAAACAACAAAATAACCATACAAGGAACGAACGAGTAAAACGAACTGAACTTTGTTGCTAAAAAAGTTCAAACTGCAATTCATCTTCATCAACAAAAAGTATGCTACAAAATACGGAATAAAAGGTCAATTTTGATCCAAGGAATACCCTTTAATATATAGTATTTTCAATTCAATAAGATCAAAACATCAGTTAAAACAATTTATTAAATTTCAAATACTATACTATAAATATTTTTAGTTTAGGGATTTAAAATAATTATAATACACCCATTTCCAGTAAATAATACAGGGTACCTTAAGAAAGTTTCAGTTACTTCGTCTTCTGTTTGTCAATAATGCAGCCCCACAAAAATCCAGTTACAAACTGAAGATTTCACTCTTTAAAATTTTTAAGTAAACTTTGGTCCCATTTCTCGCCCACTCCTACTTAGCATTTATCTTCATTTGTCGAAGGAGATGGAAAATGAAAAGGAAAAGCAGCAGAAGGACCTGCAGAGCTGGAGCAGCTGTCAACAATTTGCCGACCGCAAAATTGGCGAGGGACCCAAGTGGGAGTGTTTGAAATTCGGCATAGGGATTGCGCCTGGACCACGCCTCCTTCGATTCTCTCGAGAAACTCACTAATTGCTTGATTACTCCAGAGAGTTTTCAGAGGGCGGAGGAAATTTGAAATCTATTATAAAAGTTTTTTAGCCTCAAAATGAAGGCTCACTTGGGATCGCCGGGGGAAGAGATGTTCGGTTGTTGGGTGGCAAGATTGGGCGGAGGAAAATCATCTTCGGCGACGGCGTCGACATGGGTCAACACTTGACACAGACAAGGACAAAGCCAAAAACTTCTTCAACAAAGGTGAAGAAAATAAAGGAAAAATAGTATGTAACAGCTGGGAAAAGAACAGTCGGGGAAATTGGGAATACTTGCTATGAAATTATATATTTAAAATGAATACAGATTAATGATTAATGGACTTATTTGAATACTATATACTTTTCTCTTATATACTATAAAATTTAACTTTTTTTAAATATTTATTTTTGGAGAAATTCAATCTACAGCGTTTCCAATTTCAATTTGATTTAGCAATTTATTTACGTTAATGTCTTTATTTATACCGTTATTCAATTCTGTTTTCTTTTATAAGAACTTTCTATATTTTATTTACTTATTTAAAGGTTGTAAATTTCTTAGCTTTTTCTTTCAAGTGCGTTTCATAGCAGCTGAGAATTCTTGAACAAGTTTTTCTTGTCTTCATTTTCCTATTTTTTGTTCTTTATCTTTTATTTTACAGGTGAGCTGGATATTTTTTTATGTCTAGCGTCTGTTCCACAACAAATCAAGTGCAAAGTGGATTCCTCCACTTCATATTATTGTTGTTGTTGTTGAAGAGAGTGAACTTTGATTCTTGTATTTTGTTTTTTGTGCCCCCTAACTCTCTTCTCTGAGTTTTTTTGGTCTTTGTTCTCCTTGATTGGTTTTTGTTTCTAGTGCGATGTACTAGAGACGGGAAATCAATGGGAAAGAAAACTCGAGTGATTTTCTTTTTTTTTAGAGCTTCAACAATGTAATTCCTGAAGTGGGGCAACAGAATTGAAGGACTAATGAGGACGAAAGGTTAACAAGATGATGGTTTTTGAAGGTTAAATTATTGGGCAAAGTTTTACTTGTTTAATTAAAGAAATGAAAAGGTACGACTTCTTAAGAAAGAAAGTTGTTGGAATACCAAGATTATATTGTATTTAATATATCATAATTTATACTTTTACTGAAGATTACAAAGTTTTATGAAATGAATTAATTTAAAGAAATGAAAACCTACCTAATTCTCTTCTTAATAATCCTACTGCTGCTCTTCAAATCGTATTAATTTTCTTTTAAATATAACCATATCAATGCAAATTCAACATAATCCCTAACTTAGCAAAGAAAACTATGAAATCAAATGCCTGATGATTCCGTATTTTTGTTGTTTAATCCCTGCCATAATTTTCCCAACCTCGCGGTTTTTAAGCGGCTTAAAATCGCCCTCAGCCCCCAGTTGGAGTTTTTCTTTGATCTGGGCAAGAATAACCTTTTAATGCGACTCAAGTTCAGGAGACTATAAATTACTCAGCTTTACAAAAAAAAAAAAAAACATAAGAAAAAAATCAGGCCAGTAAAAACCAAAGAAAGAAAAGAATATAAAAAATATGAGAACATTTCGGCACGCTTATCAAGATAATTTTAAGCCGCATTTAAAAATGATTTCTTTGCTTTATTTTCGCACAGGCTCTCTGGCACGTTATGGCCCCGCCCTTCAACCTTTTCCTCTTTTTTGTCGAGCTTCGCGACTTTTTCGCTGACTGTGCGATGTCTGGCAACCCTGGAAGGACAGCTCTACAGGAAAAAGGACGAGGGAGAGAAGGTACGGGCACATTGGACCGCCACTGTTGACAGTCAGTGAACCCCGAAAAGGAATGCCCACCATAAAAACAATGAAGGATATAAAGGGTTTTTGGTTTAGTTTTTGTAAT